AAATATAAACTATCACGGAGCCTTCAAAGCCGGCTAGAAAAAAAGGCTCACATAGTCGGGTGCATTCAGTACAGAAGGGAAATGACCGGCTATAAAGCGAACAATGTCGGTGTGTTCATGTACAACAGCAGCATGCAGCGGCGTGCAGCCAAATCGGTCTCGAGCTAGAAATAATCAAAATTAAAAGCCAACTTGCTCCAAGCTACATCAGTTGTTCGCAAAGTTACATAAACAAACGAAGGATGCTTGGGCCTGTATTTTACGGCTACTAAATAACTAATTACTAAGTTTAGTATTCGCATTTGCAAATGCAGATGAAATAGGCACGACAAAAAAGGTTAGGGCAGGGCTCTGATGAAGATGAATGACCACGAGGATCGATACAATTTCTCACCTATTGCCAACTTCTTCGAAGTCATGAGCGACTTGACCTTCTCCAAATCGCCTTCTTTTATGGCTCGATGAATTCCGTCAATTTTGCTCTTAAATACTGCATTTTTAGTTCACCGAAGCAGTGATCACAATGACAAATACTCGAAAATTCAATGTCGGTCCTACGAAGTTAATTCCCTTCTAATAAGTTCAATGAACGGTTCGGGCTGAGTCAAGAGTGTTGCTCAACTATGGTGTTCAAATAAATAATCTTAAAGCCATATTTCTCTTATTTTTTTCGAATTTCCAAATCCCTTTTTTATATTTATTTTTTATATTCAATTCAATGTCTGAATTCAGAAATCAGAAACTCGAGAAGGAGATAATTTGTCATCAGCAGTACAGTATTTATAGGAACTTTCTTATTTTGTTGTTACTCATACATTCAATCTCCCTCCATTGACTTCCTACCCAATCACTCATCCCTTGAATCCACCCCTCCGTGAAAAATGCCTAGATATGGTTAGGATAGTAATTCAGAGCGAGTTTTCCTAAAATTTTCCCTTACTCTGAATACGAATTAGTTAGAATGTATTTTTAGAGAGTGCTGAAATGATAGTGTAGCTGATACCATGTATTCCGGTAGGTTTTCGAGGAAATTGACAGTATCCGCATTGGTAGCGTTTCTATTTTGAAGGAGATCACCACATCCTGAAAAGCGAGTTCTATAAAGATGGTTCCGCACCGAATTTTATTCAGTGTTGCACTCCCGTCAATTTCCATAATGGCAGGATTTCGATAACAAGGTGAGCACTACGGATTTGTAAGGGCGCCAACGAGTATGGCGTAAAAACTTATTTTCTTTATGTCCATTTTTCCTGGTGCTGTATAAGTAAAAGGGAAAATAAACATTAGACGACGTGAACGAACCAGAAAGTACGAGTTGCTCAAGCTTTGCCAGTTGGCCATCTCTTAACCATTGTTGGATTGAAGATTCCAGATAGCTGGGTGCCACACGGTTGTGTAGAACCTGAACACTCGATCAGATTTGGAAACAGATTGGGCTTTGTCCTAGTCACAGTCTGTGTCCTAGTCCTGTCCTAGTACCTGCTTCAGGGCGGCTTTCGTATCAAGTCTCATAGCAGAGAGATCAATTTCGCCATTATGCTTCAAATAGTACTTGGCTGGACGTCCATTCTAAAATTTATAGGCATAGGCTTGATAGTCCTTTCAGGAAACTGACAGCTACTTACACAATCGTAAATATTTGGATCAGCTCCACTTTTGCGCATCATTTTGTACAAATATCCTCCATCTCGATACGCTGCTGCGTAATGCAGCGGTGTTCGCTTTTTCTGGAAATTGCTGAGCTTTTGCTAGAAAAGTTACCACCAACAAGGGTAACCATTTGATAAATTTTCTAATTGTCAGTTAGAAAGAAATTACAGCGATTGCTGACAAAGGAAGCTTGACTTTGATCAATTTCTATTTCATACCTGATCCATTGCATTCACTGCATGAGGATAATTTCGGATGAGATATTTGGCGATATCGGCTCGATCGAAGACTATTGCCTGAATAATGAGGGTATTTCAGTGATTGTTTGAAAATTAGGAATTGTCATGATCTGAAAGTCCCTATATTTTGAGCATTATTTCTTTTTTTCTTTTTCTTATCTTTCTTTATTTTTTCTTTTTTATTAACTTCTGAAGAACCCGAGTTTTGTTTAAGTTAGAAAAGATGCGATTCAGACGAAATTTCAGCCATGGTGAAAGTGTTAGCGATTACGGAGGTAAAATGAAAAAAGTTGAAGATCATAGTGATTATCACGGCATCAAAAAA